CACCCCGTCGTGGGGATTCGAACCGCCGACCTTCTGATCGGCAAGTCCTAGGCTGTGTGGTTTAACCCACAGCGCCATCTGCAGTGAAGTAAAATAGCGCTCCCCACCCCTGCATCTTCTTGTTTGTGGCCAAGGTTTCAAAGAACAGGAGGCAGTCAATGGCAACCACAAATAATGGCTGGTTATCAACCAATCCAAAATCTGCAGACCTAATATTAGTCCAGTTGTGTTTGAGTTTCAAAGCCATACTTGTTAACATTTCATCATTCTCTGGTTTTCTTTATCGTATTTTTCTACTAGTTGAAAATGAGTAAATGCTTTAGACCTCCGTAACTGATTTTAAAATTAACACCCCTTGCTGAAGAACCCAACTCTTTTTACGCCCACACCCATGTGCATTCTTCTGCTGTTCAATTGTCCTGTTCAGGAATCAGCATCTTAATACTGTCCCCCCATTTTGTGATAAATGGCTCCAATCATAGTAACAGTGACTTTGGGTTGTAGCCAATGAACTCAACCCAGTAGTGTAAGGATTTCTGCTTGCACAAAAAGGCGCTTCCCCTTCCTCTCCCCTTCCAAATCTGTTCTGGGATTCCCCCAATCTGCCAGAGCAGATTGAGAGGGGCATGTGGGAATCCAGTCCAGGGCAACACCCAGCCCAGCTTTCTATGATCCTGTTTAACACATTTATATCCCTCCTTTCCTCAGAAACCCCCTCAAAGCAGACGGTCTTCCTGTTACACAATTAAGATTGCTACTCAAGGTTGAAAGTCTAGTGTTACACCCTTCAATTTTCCTATTTCCTGTACAATCAGTAAAAACCTCAGTTATCCTTGCGTGTACCATTTCAATTATTGCCCCCCCCCCATCCTTGCAGCTTTCAAATACAGGCAACTTGTATGTCTTGCAAGAGACAGTTCATTTCTTTGTAAATCTTTCATTATTCAGAGAAACACTAATTAAATTCATGTGGAAAGAAACGTGCAGTGATGCAGGAGTTCAATCACAGAGATGAAGTAAGACCCAGCAGCTTTTCCCCAAAATGAGCTTCAATCCAGCAAAGCAATTACTCAAACTACTGGAGCATTTGTACACTCGAGAAAGCCACTTGCCCTGCTTTACTGCTCAAGCTGTTCTGTGGCATACGCAAGTTAGTGCAGGTGGGCAAACCCTTTTGTTCTTAGATGACATTGATGCATAGCCATAAACATAAGCTGGCACAAAATGCTCTGTCCATAATTCTAAACTGTTTGAATCGCGATTATTTAGTCTGTAAAGATGCACCAGCAATTTAATAAGAATAACACCCTCAGCAGACATTTTTCGGGGTGTGCTGAGGGCTGCACCTATAAAGTGGGTGGGAAATTCCACTTGTTCAAATGTTCTTTCACAGGCACTTTTAGATATACACCATGGTTATCTGTAACTAGAAGTAAAACCATAAGAAGTGCCTGATGGATCCTGTTCTCAGAGTGACCAACCAAATACCTATGGGAAGCATGATAGCCAGTGTGGTGTGGTGGTTAAGAGCAGTAGACTCGTAATCTGGTGAACTGGGTTCGATTCCCTGCTTCTCCACATGCAGCTGCTGGGTGACCTTGGGCTAGTCACACTTCTCTGAAGTCTCTCAGCCCCACTCACCTCACAGAGTGTTTATTGTGGGGGAGGAAGGGAAAGGAGAATGTTAGCCGCTTTGAGACTCCTTAGGGTAGTGATAAAGCAGGATATCAAATCCAAATCCAAACTCCTCCTCCCGTGGTTACCATCAGCTGCCATTCAGAAGCATGCTACTTCAGATAGTGAAGATCGTAGCCCAGGCATCCCGAAACTCGGCCCTCCAGATGTTTTTGTGACTACAATTCCCATCATCCCTGACCACTGGTCCTGTTAGCTAGGGATGATGGGAGTTGTAGCCCAAAAACATTTGGAGGGCCGAGTTTGGGGATGCCTGTCATAGCCATCAGGGTTAGTAGCCATCGATAGCCTTATCCTACATTAATTTGTCTAATCCCATTTGAAAGCCATTCAATGATTCAATTCAGGGGATAACATTTTTGGCTCAGTGGGCCAGATCTTTATCTACCCCACTTGAGTGAGCCAACCTTGGCAGATGGGAAGGACCATCTCCTGTCAGCTGATTGACAGGGGGTTGGTCCTTCCAGGAGGGGACAACAAAACTCCCTGCATATCAGCTGACGTACAAGGTGTTCAGTTCTGCTTTCTGCAGCCATGTCTTTATCTGCCCCAAAGCTGACCTCAGAATATCAGGTATGTGTGGTTTAGGGAACAACTATAGTAACCTCCTGACTAACCTAGGTCCATAGCTGGCTATATGTAGTATCCTCAGTCAAAGAAAGGCCTGTTTGAGGGTTTGTCACACATATAAATTTTAGGCACTAAGGCATTTTTGCCATCATTAGAGTTTCTGGCCTTGCCAAGAGAAGTCCTCCTTACACACAGCTCTATTCATACAACGTATTGTGAGAGATATTCTTAGGACATGCAAGGTGATGCTTATTTCCCTCCAAATGAAATTAGTCCAGAAACAGGGATAAAATTCACTGTAACAAATAGTCAGCTGCAAAGGGAACAATGATTAATGATTACCAACATATACACTCAGAAAGAGAGACTATGGAAAGTAACCACATTTCTTATTTTGTAGCTAGGGATACAATTTAGACACTTTGTGTCTTGGTCACACTTCTAGTAGCTATCTAGACTAGAGCTCCAGACACTGCACTCAGAAAATCTTAAAATCAAGACCCTGTAATAGCTACTTGTCACATGTGTACCACAGAAATGCTCATTTAATTACACTCCCCAGCTACACTGTCATTGCCATTCCTTCTCACAGGCTACCTCAGGGTACAGGCACACCTTTAAAATCAGACTTCAGAGGAAAAGCTCTAAGCTGTCTGATAAAAACCAGCAAAGCAAATACCAGAGCTATAGCTGTCTTTGCACATGTTCACTTAATGTGGTAAGTTAACATCCAATAATACTTTTTCTCATAGAAATAAAAAGAGGCAGCCTCTCAGGTATACAGGAGGTACAGCTCTTTAAAAGAACTTTAAGATAACTTTCCCCCAATCAACATGGTATATTTTTTACAGAATGAAATGAAGTTTAACGGTCTTTGGGTACCATTCATCACATTAATACCACTACAGGTCTTTGCTTTTAGAGGACATAGGTCTAAAATGGTTTTATCTAACAGGCATATTCAGACCAAATATCACATCCATGCCATACATTTGAAGCACATGGCTTCCCCCAAAGAGTCCTGGGAACTGTAGATTATGCCTCACAAAGCTACAACTCCCAGCACCCTTAACAAATCAATAAAGCATGAATCACTGCACCAAGGCTATCCCTGTCCAAGAACAGCTGTAGTCCACATACCAAATGAACCGAGCCTCAAGTGACAAAGATGGATCCAGGATTGTTGCCAAACTACAAATGTATTCTTTCAGATGAAGAACAATGCCATTAAAAACAGAGAAATTGTCGATTTCTGAGGCACAACCATTTACTAACTGTACCTCTGTCTTCCCAGGGTTCAAGCTCAGTTTATTAGCCCTCATCCATTCCACAACTAGATCCAAACAATGTTCCAGACCATACTCAGCTTCTCCTCAGATGTTATGGAGAAATTGAGCTGTGTTGTATTCAACATACTGAAGATGATTTTCCTCAAAATTCCTAATGACTGCTCCCAACAGCTTCATATAGATGATAACCAGCACTTGCAACAGGGTTATAACCTGTGGCTCACCACAGAACAGGGACTGTGGGACTGAGATACAGCCTCCCCATGCTATTCTCTGGACACAGCCCTGCAGATGGATTGGAAACACTGTAAAACTGTGACCCCAGCACCCACCCCACAGAGACGCTCCAGGAGAATACCATGGTCAATGCAGCAGACAGACTGAGAAGCAGGACCAGACACGCATTTCTCCATCCCACTCCACCAGGGCAATGAAGGCTGATTCAGTCCCCAAACCACACTTGAATCCAGATTGAAATGGACCTGAATAGTCCACATTCTGCCGGAACTCCTGAAACTACTTAGCCATCATACTCCCCACCACATTGTCCAAGAAACAGGTATACATGACTGGGTGGTAGTTTTCGTAAACTGCAAAGTAGGGTGGGTGAACACTTAACAATACAGTGGTACCTTGGGTTAAGTACTTAATTCGTTCCGGAGGTCCGTACTTAACCTGAAACTGTTCTTAACCTGAAGCACCACTTTAGTTAATGGGGCCTCCTGCTGCTGCCGCGCCGCCGGAGCATAATTTCTGTTCTCATCCTGAAGCAAAGTTCTTAACCCGAGGGACTATTTCTGGGTTAGCGGAGTCTGTAACCTGAAGCGTATGTAACCCAAGGTACCACTGTACTAGGGTGGTAGGACCTAGCAAGAACCAAAACATTTCAATATGTCCCTAAGCAACAGACTTTAACATTGCACAAGCTACATAGGTTAACCTGCACTGCAGAGGAGGCTTTAGAAAAGAACTGACAGAAACCAATGAAGCTAATTAGAAATCTGAAGGAAGAATTTTGTTGCTATTCCTGCCTGCTAAGACTACAAGAGGTGTTCACCAGATCATCTCTTTACAGAGACATGCTGAAACATGAGAGTTAGAACAAGAAGTTCAAGTTTCGCTAATCTTCTATGGTGAAAGGAGAGCAGCTCTGATTTAAAAATTTGAAATAATCAAGGTGTTTAACCATAGGATTGTCTGCACCTGCTATCACTGCTGACATAAAATGCCAAGATATAGATGGCTGCACAGCATCTGTGCTCTAATACAGCTAACAAAGCCTGAACTGGTAAAATAGTGTATCAATCAATGGTAGTTAACACTCACTCTCTCTCTCTCTCTCTCTCTCTCTCTCTATATATATATATATATATATTAACAGAAAAAGAGGACGGTATCTACAGCAGCAAGTTTGCATTTCAGCCCTCCTAGTAATCTGTAGCTTACCTTTAAGGCTTCTATGACAAGATCTCTTGCTTCTAGTTCCCCTTCAAGAATGCTAAACAGAGTCAGTAGTTCAGGTTTGCTGAGTTTTTCCAGATTCATCTTGAACACCTGGAAAGAGAAAGTTTAATTAGATATTGTTTTTGAACAGCCAGCAAGCAATAAGGTACATATGAGATGCAAGTCTGAAGTTTCCAGATGAGAAGCCCCATTACCAAAAGCTCACCACTCCTTTCTTTATGGCCACCATAGCTACTTGCAAATGAACAATCATTCACCTTTTCCCTTGGGCTCACTAACAGATGCACACCCAGATGGCCTGGGAACAGCACAAGTGCTAATATAGCAGCATTAGTCACCAAGTAACAACCACTCTAACCACGATAATTAATATGAGTGTTCATTATAGATATAGAGATAGGTAGATGGATATGTACAGTGGACTAGCGACATAATTAGACATTTAGACTAGATGGCTAACTATCCTGTTGACAACAATTATGTATTCCTAAAATCTGAAATCTTAAAATGGATGTTTGAAAAATAATCACTATGTGATACAATTAGCTTGCATAGAGTAGCATGACAGAACCACATATTACACAGCTTACTTTTTGAAGATGTTTTCTGACAAAGTTTTATTACTTGCTCATACTGGAATCACTAGAAGTTATCCTACCTTATAAATGTGAAGCACCAGATATTAGAAGACACCACACTGCAAATCACTTGAAAGCAACATTTCTTACATATTTTGAGTCCAACTCAACTTATTTCATCAAGTACTATTTTATATTATACATATATTACGGTGAGCATGCACACTGACTTTATTATCTACAGGACACTTTGTTCCACCTCGGCCACCACTTTGCAAGCTTTTTGTATTATCCACATAGATCTAAACAAAGACTGCATTCATGCTTCAGTTTACTCTGCATCCAGAGTGCTCCTACTGCTGGTATGTGAAGTCATGCACACATCATATTAGCCTCAATCTACATCTATCCTGAGAAATACTGCATTTTGATGCATTTTACTCTAAAACAACTTTGATCAGATTTGAAAATGTAAGCCATTTGAAGACATCCTCAACCCTTTGCCATTCACTGGTGTGGAAAAACAGTGGGAAACTTGGAAACACATCCAACTATACTGATATGTACAACATGCAAATGTAGTTTCAAATGCAGCAGAAAAAATGACCTCGCTGCAATTTAAGCTGGTAGTGTACACATAGCCAAAGATTCACTCAAAATTGTTTAAGTCACTAGTTTTCACCTTGAACGATGGTCAGGGATGTTGTGGGCAACACTGGCCTCTGTCCCTCTTTCCCTCCCTCTGATGCCCTCTCCCATCTCTGCCTCCCAAAGGCTTGCACAGCTATTTGTTGCAGCAGCCCTGGCTACAAGCTCCACAGCTGAATGGTGCCTCTGGGGCTGGACAGGGGGTGCTACCCAGGCCCCTGTGGGGCAGTGGGAGGAGGTACCTCTCTTAGGGATAGGGGGGCAGCTCAGAGACCAGGGGCGGCAGCTGTATCTGCCCACAGGACTCCCAAGGAAAGTGGAGAAGGCTAAGGGAACACTCCACAAGGGTGTTCAAAAAGGGTGACACAACTGGGTTCCTGAGCCTCACAGGGGTGCCACAGAAAGAATGGAGTCATGGACTCAAAAAGGTTGGAAACCTTTGATTTAAGGCATGACAGTTTTCCAGTTGCTGATGCAAAATGTATGAATGTGCTGCTGAGCATGTCGTGAGAAATTAAGAGTTCTACTGAAATCCCACAGCATTCATTTAATTGGATTACTCCCGTTCAGGATAAAACATCCAAGTTATTCGGTAGAACAGAGAAAAGACACGGCTGGTCTCATTTCTCCAAATGAAAGCATGACTATGCCTCCTTTTATGGGCTGTGTCCAATACTATCCCTACTCAAAGTAGGCCCATTGAAACCAGCTAGACCAACTTCATTCAATTAATTCCTCCTGAGTAGGACTTAGCCAGATACAACTCTATGGTATTGCAGCTGTTTAAAATCCAGTGCAAGTGTTCGTTACAACGATCATCATACGACATAAACTCAGTGCTGCAGATAAACAAGTTGACTGGGGGAAGTTTAAACAGTTTGGAAAACTCATAAATGCCTGCTTTCATGATTTCCTACAAGACCAGACATCCAAATTGGGTTCGACACAACAAAGGAGGTGGCACATTTCTCTTGAAGTAACAGCCACATTTTCCCCCTTTCTGAAAACCTTCCCTGAAGCACACATTTACGCTGTTACTATAACATCCTGGCAACTTTAACTGGCACTTCAGCAAGGTCACTGCTACATAAAGCAAACTATGATGGAGTCAGAGGCTAGATCATAATTTACTTAAAAACAAACAATTCCTAACAGCTGTACTGCTGCAGACTGAAAGTACACCTTTGTCCTGAGTTTTTAATCTAGAGTTTGATGAGCCCATATACAGTTTTTACAAGAGGATATGACCTTTAAAAGAAATAGTAATGCTGCAGAAAAGCAGAGAGATCAGTGGAAAACAGTTAATAACGAAAGTCCAAAATGTTTTGCTCACAAGCCATAACCTGATGCCTACGTATTCCACTAATTTTAAAATACAAAGTGAAAGTCTGTCAGATATTTTCAGCTTGGGAATGCTGTAAATTAAAACTGCTTCTTGAGCTTAGGAGTTCTTCCATGCAACTATTTTTAGTCTAAGAGCTGCATTTTGGGTTCATAGATTGTATAATCTGGTTTTATACTGTCTTTGAATCACTTTATTATTTGCACTGTTACAAAACCTGAAGGTGGCCTGGAGAGGTGGGGGGGATATTCCTTGCCAAAACACAGACCACACAATTTTCTTACCATACTTTCTTCTGTCATCTCATGGCTAGCTATTCTGTGCCACCCTCAGATCTCAAAATTTCATCAAGAAAGGCACATACAGTGAAGCAGCAGCAAAGTTATTATGTCAAGATAACAGCTTCCATGTCATTTGTTGGCAAAATGTGAACTATCTCAATAGCCTTCTTTGTGTCAAGCCTAAACAAAACGGACTAAGCCATGACTACAACATAATAATCCAAGAAGTATGGCATTTCTGAATCATCATTATGTTCACAAATAGACTAATCAGTGGGGGAAACTTCACAACGCTTCTGAAAAACCAGCTCAATGCAGCAGTTTGTAGTACAGATTTTCCAGAATCTGTTCTAAGTTTAAAGGCTTTGCCTCAGATGCCTTGTACTATTTCCTTGGAACAAACTACAGCAAACAGAGGCAGCACTTTCCTGCAATTATTGGAGATATTTCCTGTCTTTCTAAACTCTTTGATAACACATACCTGTTATTGAAACAAGGCTTCTCTGTGCACAACCTCTTTTAAATTCATCGTATCCAAGTAACAGTGGAATTTTCAGCACTACACAAAACTCTCTGAAGTGCCAGATGAGATTATGCTGCTATGTTCACGTAACGTGGAATGTATTACTTTCTTGTGGTATGCATGCAAACATACCAGCATCTACAGAAGCTTATGTTTGTAGTGCTTTGTAAATTAATCTATTTACTTTTGAATTTTAAAAGGTTATTCTCATCAAGCTATATTCAAGCTTAAACCTCCACAATCCACATACTTTAGGGCAAATATGCACCATCTTTAAACTTAGCCATTTTTACTGGCAGAATCCGAGACCGGGGGAAAGAGGCGGTGGATGAAGACTGGAACAAATTCAAAGTTTATCTTAAAAACTGTTGTAATTTGGAAAATTAGAGGATCAGGGTAATAAGAGATAAAGAACTACAGTTGTTTTATCATTTTATGGAAGTTAAATTTACGAAATAGAAATAAGTTTAATACGAAAGGGTTGCTGGAAAATTTTGAAACAAGAATGCAGAAAAGGGGTGGTATGGGGAAGTCGTTTTTGTGTTTATTTATGTTTTTGCTTTGTTTTCTTTTTTACTTATGGAAAATTAATAAAAATTTATTTTAAAAAAAATATAAACTTAGCCATTTTTAAATATACTGTGAATTGCAGCCTAAAAAACTGAACCCAGATTGTATTTACCAAATGCTAGGAGAATTAGAAGAAAATTGCACTGAGTTTAATAAGTAAATATACTTGGGATAGCAGCTTAAGAGTGCAATTCTATGCTTGTCTAACTCAGAAGAAGAAACAACCAAGTACTGTGGCACCTGAAAGATTCTCTAGGTGCTCTCTTTGACTGGTGCCGTGAATAGGATGTAAGCTTGTTAGGTACCTAACTCGATTCCAAATTTGTTAGCTTAAGCAGCAATGCTATACCCACTTATCTGGGTGTAAATCCCAACCAATTGAACTCAATGGGACTTATTCTGAGTAGATAGGTATGCATTGTTTATCTCAAGCCACACTTCCATTGCCTTCAAAAGTTTTGCACCTCAAAACTCTGCATATAACCTCTTACTCAGCTGAGACAAAAACATCACTTTCCCCGCAATTATTAGCCCATTATCTCTGCCTCCTACTTATCGATATGCAGACAAATCAGCCAGGGCAGATCTAAAAGCCAAGTATGTATTCCAATGCCAAACAAAAACCAATAAATTAGTCTCTCTTAGAATATTATTTTTCTTTGTAAAGGGATATTCTTATTGCTGGCCAAAAGCCACTGAAAACAAAAGCCTTATGCTTTTTTAGAAAGAGGAATCTTATTTAGCAGCAATCATAAAAATATTTGCACATGCAAGAAAAGCTTGCTCAGACTAAGGCTGTATACACACATCTCATTTAAATCAGATTTAAAGTGCATGTGTAGGCTGCATATACATCATACATTTTTGCCCCAAAGAATCCTGGGAACTGTCATTTAAACAGCCATTAGCAAACTACACTTCCCAGTAGTAAAACAGTTAAACAGGAGTGGGGAATATTTGGCCCTCCAGAAATACAACCTGCATCCCCAACAAACCTGGCCAATGGCCAGGGAGGATGGGAGTTTTAGTTAACAATATCTGGAGAGCCAAAGCTTCCTCATGCCTGTGATTAAATCTCAAGATCCTCTATATTTCCAGGCTGTTAATGGAGGAGGCAGTTTTTGTATTTCTAGGTTTGCACAAAGAAC